GCTGTTCTCTGTACTAAGAGCTCTGCATATGTTACCACATGCTCTCTAATCGATACATGTGCATTTCTTCTCTGTAGTGATCTCATGGGTAAGACTCTCCCTATTTTTTTATGTATGTTCTATTATTTTATATTATCTCTAGCAAATGTCTATTGCCTTTTTTCCTTTGGTCTTATAAATGATTTTACATAGCACTTTGTTTCTCCTTTTATAAAAACTATAAATTCCTCAAGGGAGGGAACCACTCCTTCCTGAGTTCTATAAAAATTCACATAATTACCAAACCTTTGTAATTTGGCATATGGTCTTTGTCTGGTTTGATGGCATGCCATCTTTTCCAGAATAAATGCAGTTCATTTTTAGAGCAAGGATCGGTCCGCAGCTTTTGGATAGTCTAAGTGAAATGATGTTGTTCTCTTGTGAGGTACCTGATTCAATTATTTGACTACACAGCACCTCCCACATTTAGATTTTGCTTTGTGCTGAGAGCATCACGTTTCTCTGACATGATTCTCAACCTCTTCAGATGGTTGAATAGCAAAATTCCCATCGACCGATGGAGTGTAGCCAGATGACTCCTTATAAACAATGATGACAAAAGTCTTGTCTCTGGTATTTTGGATGTTATACGAGAAACAGACCCTGGGAGAGGAAGACATCGGGTTTGGTAAAGCAGAGGGTCAACGCAAAGGAAGAAGACCTTCCACTAGCTGAGGTTATAAATTGATGGCAACACCTGGCTCGAGCAAAGCAATTGTGGAGACGGCACAGGGCCTGGCAGTATTTTGTTTGCTATACACAGGGTTGCTTTGAGTCATAGTCAACTCAACAAACCCAAATAACAAGATCTCTCTCTCTCTCTGTCTCTCTATCATCTATATCCCTCTCATCGATACCTATACCTGTATCTATCTATAGCTATATCGCACACAGCTTGGCAATTGCCCTGTTTTATACATTTATAATTTGGAGGCAATGGTGTATTTATGATGTCTTAACACAAGGAAGGGCAGTGGGAGTGAAATATGTAGAAGGTTCACATGGCCAAGACTAGCTAGTGAAAGGAAGAGAGAGGGCTTTTGGCGTTCATAAGCATTCTGAGCACGGCATCTTTGCTAAGAGTGTGCAGAGGTAACGCTATTGATGGGAAAGAGGAGTGCCGATGACGATTCCTCAGTGAGACTTGAGTGGACAGGGGAGAGGGCTTCGGTGAAGTTCTGTCCACAGGAGGAACACATACAGTCCTAACCGATGTCGCCTCATTTTCATCAGCACTCCCAGTGACGGGGATGGTGTTTCTGGTGTGAGGCTCTATGCTAGATAGTTATAGGTATTATCACATTGCCCTATTCAGAACACCTTCTGAGTTAGGGGTGGTGAACCTTTCTGCAGGAAAAGAAGTTCAGTTTAAAGGCTTAGAAGTGGATAAAAAGAGAATTAAAAATGTTTAAAAGTTTTTCTCATATGGCAAACAAATGAACAAGATCCTGGGTATAGAAAGCTCTGTTTTGTGGGATTTCTCTCCCGATCCCACCCCACCCCCATCCTGCCCCACTTAGACTGGGACTAGGAATCCTTCAAAAGGCCAACTCTGGAGAACTTTCCTAGCACTGCTGCTGCTGCAATGAACAGATGAGACCCCAGGACAAAAGGCGCGGCTCTCTCCTTGGAGAAAGAGCAAATAAGAATGAAGTGTTAGATTGCCAGGCGAATTATACATTCCACTCATGTGTCACCCATCTGTTGAGATTGTTTAAAATGCAGACACGAGTCAAGTGTTGGGGTGACATGTTTACTGTTGTGAACACACAGAAAGCTTATGACACTGGTGAAGAGTCACTGTTCCGTCACGTGCCCGTGGGCTTCAGTGGGACTCTGCAGATGGCTTTGGAAGCTCACCTTTCTGTGAGAGAACATGTGGCAGCTCCGGTAGGGAGCTGATGGTTACATCCTAGTCTAAGAAACTCTTTCTGAGCTGGAAAAGACCTGTGCTCCTCTATGGTCAACACCCACAGTTTACACATGGGAACAATGAGATGCAAAGAGGGCAAATCTCTGCCTTTTCTGCATTTTCTATTTCAGCGCTTAGAATGTTCTAAAGATATGTGCATGGGCACACAGGACGGTCCGGAGGGATATTAGGTCCTTCCCAGCAGGGATGGAGAGCTATGATATCTCTGTACTAAATGCATTGAATAACACCTAACACATCCCAGTGTCTAGGAGATGTCATGTTTGAGTGTGTGTATAATGTATGCATACTGTATGTATATACTGTATTGGTCATATCAGGAGGGATGGAGAGCTATGATATCTCAGTACTAAATGCATAGAGTAACACCTAACACATCCCAGTGTCTAGGAGATGTCATGTGTGTGTGTGTTTAATGTATGGATACTGTATGTATATACAGTATTGGTCATATATATGTTATATGTATGTATATGTGATATGCACATATGTATATATAGTATGTGTATGTATAATGTTAGTCATAGGATAGATGAAGGCTTTCCTTATGAAGGCAGGAAACACCGAGAAGGTGCCATCCTCAAACTCCAGCATCACACCTTTCTTTTCATGGCCAATTTCTTCATTGAATAGGTTGAGGGTTCTTTCAAACTGTGGCTTCCAGTGATTCTCCTTCATGAGAACGACTGGCATTAGACTGCACCTTGGTTTCCGATTCTGTTATAGGAGTCCATTTAAACCTACCTGTAATAAAGAACACCACCCAAAACAGGAAAACCTTTTTCATTTTTAGACACAGCTTATTGCTAAATAAGAAAACAATCTTTCTGACAAGGTCTTTTGTTGATTTGCTTGCTTACATTTAACCTTTTCTATCCTGAAATGAAAGGAGTCTTGGTCATGCGAGGGTTAAGTGCACAGTTGCTAACTGGATCTTCAAATCCAACAGCCATTCCTTGAGAGGAAAGGTTGGCGAGCTGCTTCTGTGAAAATTCCAGGCTTGGAAACGCTGCAGGGGTTTTTCCAAGTTCTCTCTGTCATATGGGCTTCCTTTGGGTCAGGGTCAACTGCATGGCCCACAATGGCAATTATTCAATGAGTCTAGTCCTCCTGGCTCAGTGCTTTTTGGCCATTAACTGAAAAGTTGGTGTTTGAATGCATTGATGGATCTATGGAAGAAGAGGTCTGGAGGTCTGCTACCATAAACATTCCTGTCACCCGTGAGTGGATTGTGACTCACAATGACCCTCTGAGACAGACAGGAACTGTTCCACACGTCTCTGCAGGTGTCAGTCTTCACGGGTGTAGATTGCTTTTCTTTCTCCTTCGCAGCTGCTGGGGGATTTGAACTGCTGACTTCTCCAGTAGAAGGCCCACACTTAATCCACTGCCTCGCCAGGAGTACTTCTTTAAAGATTACAGATTTGAAATCTCCCTTTTTATAAGTGTATAATCGATGATTAGTTTTGCAATTATAAGCAGCACAACCTTGGACAACTTCTTTTTTTCTGTGTTAATCTTCCAGTGTTGAGAAGAACCTTGATTTTCTCTTTCCTGTGAGAAAATACGCAATTCCTCTGCTGTTTCTCATATGACTTGCTCTCTAGATCCTGGGACCACTTTCTGTGGGTATAATCTAGTGTCGAGTATACCTATTTTAAAAAGTGGCCTGGTTTAGACAATGAAACTTGAGGGGAATCTGCACTGGCGCATATAGCATTTGCCTCCATTTGAGTTCTTACATAATTGAAGACAGAGTCAGGGAACCAGGTAAGAATAAGGGACAGTTTCAATTGAATCAATTTATCAAGACACTGTTCACAGTTTTAATTCAGGGCAGTTGATCACTGAGATTCTCTTTTCCAATCTTGCCCATGTCTCAACCAACACATCTTGGACCATGGCCCTGTGTCTGTAAAAGTAGGTCTGACTCTGCCTAGGCATTGACCTTTGTTGCCATCTACAGGTCATTTCAAGGACAAGAGTGAAGTGGAGCTTACATTTCTGTCCAGCACTAATGAATGAAGCCTGATCAAAACGATATTCTCATGGGCTCCTGAAATGAGATTTTATTTTACTTTTTAAACGAAGAGGGCAGGACACTGGGGTGCATGGAGGAGAGGGGCAAGAGTGGCAGTTCCCTCAAAGACACTTAAGAAACTAAAATTAAAGTAACTTCTTATAGCCCACAGAGGATATAATTGAAAAACAAATGATTGCAAGAAAAGTCATAGATTTCTTTCACATTATGCTCAGTTCCAACATCTGAGCTACTGTGTTAAAAATATGGCCGTAAGTGCCTCAGCCTCATGACTATTTTTACTCTGTGTCCTCACTGTTCTGATGCTAGAGCACCACATCCACCCCAGGATATGGCCTCTTACAAATGCTCCTTAAGTGACCACCTCACCACCTTACTCAGGAGAGTGTGGCCATAAGTCACTCTCCTTTTCATACTGGGAAGAATCGAATGAACTATTTGCTTTAGGTATTTATCATGCATTTATTTTTACCCTGCCTTATTTCTCCCAACAGATTTCAGGTGAGTTGCTCCAAAAAGGTGAACGATAAAATAATGTCAAGCAAAATAAGAGTCAGAAAATAGGACTAGGGGAAAATATTACTGAAAATAGAAATTGAGAGGGATGGAGTTAAAGGAATCTAATTACCATGACCACAAGAGATGATATGATGACCCTGTCTCACCATTTAGTTGCACACCCTTTTTCAAAGGCCCAGCCAAATCAGTTATGTGAGTTTTGTCCCAGAGAAGACTAAGGTACTTGCTTCCTCTTGGTTGTTTTCATTCAGCCCTTCATAATTGGATATTGGCAATGTCTTGCTCTTTGGTCGGGTTTCCTTCATTAGGGTTAAAATGCAATGGTACAGCCATTGAAAAGAATATTTCATATTTAAGGAGGAGAAAAAAACAGGCTACAACAAACATAAGATAAAGGAGGTGGGTTAGAATTGTTAAATCCAGTAGCTCAGATCTAGAAATATTTTAACCTTACAATTCTTTAAACAGGAACTTGGTTATCAAAACTATATTGTAACATTAAGGAAGAGACAAAATATTGCTATCACAATGCCAGGACCAGGCAAAGGGCAGACCTGAATTCAGTTCAAGGAGCTCAAGGTAAGGAGTATCTACTTCCTCATTTGGTCTGCTTAGTCCTAGTAATTGTGTATTGCTCCCCTGCCCACCTTCTGTACTCTAAATAATAACTGGGTCTCTATCTTAAAGTAATGCCTATTCATTGTATCTCTTCAACCGGATGGTCTATTACCCTCTAGACTTTTGGCAGTGCAATTTTTACTGGAACTCCAGTTCCTGTGCCTATTTATGCGTGTTGCTATTTACCCTAAGCCTCCCTGCCACAGCGCACAGTGTTGTGCAGTGTCTGGAAGCCACTGCAACTTACGGCAACCCCACTTTCAGAATGGGACCTCCTCTTACGGTTTTCCAGGCTGTAATCTTCCTGGAAGCAAATAAGCAGATTTCTGTACCCTGGAGCCACTCAGTGTGGTTGAACCAATATTCGATACTAACTAGTTCTGCTACAAATCTCTTGCCTCTCTGACACTTTTCTGTGAGACATTCCTCTTAATTGTTTAAATTATTCAAATGGCTACACAGTCAAGTTCTAGTAAAGACAAGTCTTTACCTTAAGATTTTATTATTTTTCCCTGTAATCATTCCTTTTAATCTTGTTATTTTTTAAAGATGGTTCATATATATATGTATGCCCCCTTAAGGAAGGTAGGTTATTATTCTGGAAAGTTTTGTCTGTTTGTTTTTTCTTGTTATTGTTCTTCTTTCTAATCAATGTCACTTTCCCAGTAGTACTTTGAAGTGAGCACATACTTTGTGTATTAAAAACCTGCTCTATTTTGTGTAGATCTATATGGTGGCCCTTATCATTTTTTAATCTCAAGAGTGCCTATAAGATTACTATTACTAGGACATTCATTTTATAATTTATAAAAATGAAACTCAGAAAATCTATAATATCTGCTCCTGATCACAGAATTAGTAGCCGGGATGGAATTCAAGCTTTCTCCCATTTTCTCTGTTAAAGATCAACCACATTTCCATATTTTAATGTGAGATTTCTGTTTGAAAGTATGATTATCTCATATGAATTCAAGCAAAAATATTTGAGAATAGTAAATAGCTTTATGTTTCAAAGACACAACCCCCAATCATTTGACTCACACACATTATTATGATAAAAGGTCCATATATATTTTTTGTATTTAAAGTATTAAATTCTGTTTTGGGTTCTAGAGCAACAAATACTGAAATCACCATGGCCTAGCAAAGGAACAAACACATTTTGCTTGGTGAAGGGAAGACAGGATGCTCTTTGGAAGCGAGGATGATGAGACTTTGTCTCACATACTTGGGACATGTCATCAGAAGAGATCAGTCCCTGGATAGGGGCATGATTCTTGGGAAAGTAGCACGGTCATCAAAAAGAGGAAGTCTCTCAACAAGATCAATTGACACAGTGGCTACAACAATAGTCTAAACCAGTGGTTCTCAACCTTCCTAATGCCATGACCCTTAATACAGTTCCTCCTGTTGTGGTGATCCCCCCAAACATAAAGTTATTTTTGTTGCTACTTCATCACTATAATTTTGCTAATGTTATGAATCGGGTGACCCCTGTGAAAGGGTTGTTCTACCCTGAAAGGGGTCACGACCCACAGGTTGAGAACCGCTGGTGTAAACCATAGCTAGGATTATGAGGATGGTAAAGGACTGAGTGTGTGTGTGTGTGTGTGTGTGTTCTGTTGTATACATGGTCATGACAAACTATGAGTATTTTCTGACTCGATATCAGCTAACAACACAACATCAAAGTGGCAAGTTGATTCAGTCAATGTCTTCTCAGAACATTCAACCTGGGTAATCAATAAGAATTTAATCAATGGACTATTGATAAAGCTTTGGGCCTGGTAAAGCCCATGTCTCTCAAAGTGTATTCCTTAGTTCAGCATCATGAGCATCACCTGAGATCATGTTTACAAACTGTAAATCCAAACTCAGTGGCAATTCAATTCTTACTCACAGTGAACTTATAAGTCAGAGTAGAACTGCTGTAAAGAGCTCCGAGACTTTAGTCTTCATAGAAGCAGACTGCCACATTTTCCTCCCATCAAGCAGGTGCTGAGTTAAAACCGCTGACCTTGCAGTTGGTGCTGTCCTGTCACAGCATGTTAGAAATCCACATTCTCATCTGCCAAACTGAACGAATGAAAAGTCTACGATTCACAATAATCAGATCCCAAAATGATTATTAAGATGGTAGAGGACCATGTAATGTTTTAATCTGCTGTATATACAATGTACATATGCCATTTTCTGTGGGTGATGCTGATACACACAGACATTTGAGATCCACTGATTTAGGAAAAATGCCAATGCCATTAGGTTGTTATCACGTTTGTCTACAGTGGGCAGCATTCCATTTTCTGCTGGGTGCCAGACAGAGCACAAACATTGCACGTATGAATAAAGACAATATCAATCTTTAAATCCAACTTATGAGAAAGGCTGCCCTTTTCAAACCCTAGTATAATTAGCTCAATTTCATCATGTATTGAAATAATTAAATAGGAAAATAAGCATTCAGTATGTGGAATATGAAAAGAACTCAATATTCCCTGGCAACACAGTAGGGTAAGGGTGCTGCTGACCGAAAGGTCAGAAGTTGGAAGATGCCCGCTGCTCCATGGGAGGCAGAGCAGGTGGTCTGCTTCGGTGAAGATGTGCATTCCCAGGAACCTCATAGAGCAATTCTACTCTGTCCTAGAGGCCCCTACAAGGCAGAACTGACTCAATGGCAGTGGGTTGTGTTGGGTTTGGTTTTCCTCTTATCTAGTTGCATAGTTTCATTCCTCTGACTTTCCCATGCAGAGGTTGTCTGACAGCCAGTCCGACTCGCCAAGGCCATGGAGTAGATTAAACTTATAGCCACTCTCGAGCAATATCTCATTAAGGGTTCTGGCCTATCAAGCTTTACAGAAACAGAACATCTCATACTTCTCCCACAGAGTGGTTGAAAAACTCAAAGTGATCACCATCAAGTCAATTCTGATTCTGAGAAATCCTGTAGGACAGAGAAGAGCAGCCCCTGTGTGTTTCTGATACTGTAAATCTTGACAGGAGTAGAACCTCTCATTTTCCTCCCTAGTAGTGCCCGGTTGTATTGAACTGCTGACCTACAGTTAGCAGTCCAACATGTAGTGTACTATGCCCCCAGGGCTCCACTAGCCAAGTCGAAATGATGAAAATATTTCAAAAGCAAACTTTCTAACGCTTCTTTTGGTATCATGGCCAATACAGATGCTTTAGTGTAAAATACTCCCTGGCAGCTTTTCTCTAATTCTTCTAATTAAATGCTTCAAACATGCAATTCAGTAATACTTCAGTGCATTCTTGGAATGAATGATGGTTTCATTATCGCTTCCTGAATTCATCATAAGCGTATTGTAACTCTGCCCTAGCCTTTACCAAGCTCTCCTGTGTATGTGTCTGTATTCTCCACTAGACTAGAAGCCTGTGGTGGGTCGACATAGTGTCTGTCTATGCTAGTAACCATAGTTTGTTGTCCAGTGTGTGTCAGAGTAAGCCCTCAACAAATGGAATCTACTGAATGAGCTACTTGTTTTTAGGCCTTGCTTCTTGATCAATGACATTGCTATTCAGTTTTTGCCTGCAACAGATAAATAGAAATCAGAAACCTCAAATTCTAGGAACCAGTGCAATTAAAATGGCATCGTATACCTTAGCTCACTATTTCTCATTATCTGAATAAGACATAGCACCACGAAGCAGATGGCTTGGGAAAGCATAAAATAAACACGAGTAACACAAAACCTGCCATTCAATAACGCTAATCACACTACAGATTTTGGACAGTAGCATCTTCTCCACTTGTTAATAAAACTATTGTGAAACATATGTTCTGGGAAAAGTGAAAATAGATAAAGTTAGCACAACTTCAACCTCGCCACTTGATTTAAAATGCTTGCTGTCTTTTTAGACTCCTTTTCTGCAGATTCAGGGAGCAGAAGGAGGATTCTCCATTTCAGGAAGCTCTCTGAGGAACTGCAAGGATTCTATCACTGAGACTTAAACCAGAACCTCCTCTGAAACTCTATTTTTAAAATATTTGCATAAGTATTGCACAGCCTAAAGTGCAGAGTAATGACATGGGCCTGGGGAGTCTGTTTAATTAAGTGACAGCTTTTTAACATCAATATTTTGAAGCCATTTTGATTAAGCATTGTTTTATTGGCTTGCCAAAAAGATTATTTAGACTTCTAAAAGTTTAATAGTTCTGGATGTTTAGAACGTAAATCTTCAAATGGATCAAAAGAATTAGTGATGTTTTAGATTTTATGCAGAAAGCATTGTATGATGTTATACTGTCATGTATTTGAAATGAAGGCAACATGATTCCATTTTGGACCAGAGATCCTGGCACCCGTCAGTTTCATTAATCCACTGGAAGGCATCCCTTTGTAATTTTGTCCTTATTTAATTGTCCACTTTGGCCAGGTCCTCACTTGTTGTGCTAGTGAAAACATTGTACTTCAAAGGATATTTTCTTCTTTTAAAAAACTATAAAAGTAAAATATAATGACGTACTTAAAATTAGTTAACATGTTGGCATTTTTTCAATGTTTATGGTGAATTATGTGATGGTTTACATAGCAGATCATTGTTTTTGCACTCAACAACTTAATTAACTTATCAAACCTTTTAAGGGCTTGCCTATCCATCTCCCCACCCCAATTCTTTTTAAAACTCACAGGTATTAGATTCTTAGGAATACATATTTGATAATAATCCAACCGCAGTAGTGTCTTGGTTTCCTAATCAAATGCCCTTGAAACTAGATGATGGTTCTTTCCACCACATCGGCATCTGGGTAAGATGGCAGAACTGACTCATCCGTCAAATATTGATCGGCACTTTCTGTATTTTCAGACATTGTGCTTGCTCCTGTTTACACAAAGTAGTCAGACTTAGCACTTTTGTCCACCAAAACTCATATCCTTTAAGAAAGTGGCCCAGGGAGATCAGTGGCCAGTGAAGTTATGAAATAA